GAAAGATGCGTGATCTTGCTTGCACATACAGCTTGATTGAATAGTACTCTTGTTATATACATGTACACTTACTATCTAGTATATCCAGAATAAGGTCAACCTCTTGACTCGATTTGGTGTCTGCCATCCCGTCGAACACTGCTTGTACACCAAAATATCAGATGTCGAATTCAGACTAAGTTGAAATCCAACTAAGTCAAATACGATCTAAGAAGGGCTTGTGATGAAGCCGTCTCAAAAAAAAAATATGCCTGTGTCCCATTTGTCTTTGTCATGTCCAACAACGAGTTGACTGATATAATCATATCTTGTGCAACAGGTACAGTGAAACAAACTTCTGTAGCGTATACAAGGTGAAACGTTCAGTACCGATGGCAAATCTACTTCACATCTGTTGGAAGGAACATGCCCTCACAACAGGCCCTGGCTCAATTCACTACTCTATGGCTTTAAGCTTCTACAATCTGCTACTGAACCCTTGAAATTCACATACGAATCGGTTTTAGTACCCTATGTCCCTATATACATATAGATACATAAACGCTATGTATTTTAATATTTTCATCACTTCTACCGCGAGCTTCTGGCGAGGAAGAAAGATTTCCCATTTTGAGACTCGAGTTGTCCAGTGGCAACAAGCAGATTTTCGTATCCAATCGATTTTTCCGCAGCCTTGGAATAGTCCAATAGAAACCTTATAATTTAGGCTAACGTTGACAGGAATTTTAAGCTGATACCGAACTTCATTGATATGCATGTGCGTTGAGCCGCCAAAAAGTGTCATCACAAAGTCTATTTATAGAACCACAGGAAAACGAAAGAATCTGTGTGCTGCATTTTCGACTGCCACAAGAGAGATGACAGCGATATTGGTCAACACGTTCGAGGGTTCAGAATTCAGATGTCCCCACTCCAGTGTGTAAATAAACATTGGCAAGCAAACAGTGCTGATGAAAATGCATAGCAACTCTTACATATCGTAGCATATCCGAGAGCGCAATAGTGTCTCATTTCATATTCATTGTGCGCGCATCTATCGCGCACGCTTGTATCTCGGGGGATCATAAAGAGATGATGGTATGATCAATCACGGTACCACTACAGCATACTGCAAACAGCCTACTGAAAACAAGTACAGTTCCTTGTGTGAATATAGTACGAAACACGATAACCGAACATTATTGCTTGTATAACTGTAGTATGAGATAAAATATCGAAATAGCATTGAATAGTCCGACCAACACAGTCGCAATCATGGTGCGTGCGTATGTTGGTAGTAAGTGCGCAATACTGCGAACGCACTTGTGTACGGCTGCAATGTTTCGCTCAAGCACAAGCCCTGCACTTAGGCATACCCGCCAGCAGCCTGTACGCACTTACATAACACACAGAAAGGATGCGAAATATAGTGAAATAGGGGCAAATATAGGTCTTAGAATGCATAAGCAATCATCCTTGGACTATAGGAGTGGGTTAGCAACAACACCACTACCACTACGACGAGGATATAACACGTACCATGCAATGATCAGCGAGAGCGAGAGCGAGTTGAGCTCGGGCCACCACGACCCTTCAGAAAGCAGGTTCAATCCGAACACTCTTTCGACTATGAATAGTACAGTTGACAGCGATTCAGCAACAACAGCTATAGCCACACACCAGGTGAACCCAGATACAGCGAATGTGATATCACTAGGTTCGAATTCGAATACGAATATGAATACAAGTAAAGGGCCTGGTGTAAACGATATAGATAGAGCTGTAGGCGGTGTGAATGGTAGTGTGAGGGAAGTTTGTGGTTGGAATCCGGATGGGGATGGACATGCTACAGAATTGAATGCCCCCAACGAACAAAAACGAAGTTCATGGTCACCAAGGGGGAGACGAGAGAAAGACAATCAGAACCCCTTGAAACTAAACTTGAGAATTCACCCAGAAGCTAAGAATGTTTTGGGAGCGCACCAGTCCTTGCCGAGGTAAGCGGAGTGGATGCGAAAGGTCTTTTTGTCATCAGTTATCGATTCAATAAGTCTATATGAAGTTAAATTGGTTGTCTAATTGTTTTATATTATAGTTACCTATTCGGTTTCTCCATTGTCATAGGCTGGGTGCTCGATTTTCAATATATGCTTGTGTATCTAATGATGTCTCTCAATACATAGGTATATTTGTATTTGTATCTATCTATCTACAGACACACCGGCAGACACGCACAATTTTATATATATATATGTAAATATATATATATATATATATGTGAATATATACATATATATATATATACATATGTATATATATATATATATCTATCAACACATATTTATTATCAGTATATATGCATATTTACATACATTCTTACACGCGCACACACACATATATATATATATATATATATATATATATATATATATATATATATATATGGATATATATATATATGAATTTATGTATGTATGTATGTATCATATATATATATATAAATACAAATATAGAAATATATATATATATCTATTTTCATATACATACACACACATGTATGTAATATATATATAAATACGTACTTATATATATATATGGATGTATATATTTCTATATTTATATATAAATATATATATATAAATATATACGTATACATATATATATATATATATATATTGTATATATATGGGTGTGTTTATTGCATGTTTCTATATTTCTATATTTGTATTATAATTATACGATCGTGTCTATATTTATGTTTCAAATTACATCTGTATGTATATATAAATATCTGTATTTATATATATATATATATATATATTATATTTAAATATTTATATGCATATACATATATATATAAATGTAAATATATATGTGTGTGTAGATTTATATATATATATAAATATATATATATATATATATACAAAATTTGTATACCGTTTTTGCGAGTGTGAATGCTGTTCGTAAGTGATTTTCGATCCAATTTCAATTGTATGACTCTGTTCGGATAGATATATTGGCCAGCGCGGAAGGAAAAGGCTTAAGTATTGTCATTTCACAGCACCTTGCACACACATATATACGTACCTGTACCTTAATATGTGCATTTTAGGTCTAAGAAACTTACACAAGGCCCGTGTATTTTGTGTAGTGTGTGAATGGCCTAATTTTACATGTACGCATTCCGCTGGTGTATTCAAGTCATACATGCACAGAAATGCTAAGTCGCACGTAGATGTGACCACTGCATGTAGTGTAGGCCGCTCATTCAAGTGTACACGTCAGTCTTCCGTGGTATTCTGTAGCGAGTATTCCTTTGTGCGCCAAATTCACTTACACCATTTAAACCGCACTCGCCTCAGTTTCCGGAGAGATGTTGATGCCATATTCGCAGGCAAGGGGTCGAAGAGGAAGCTGGACGAGGACTTGCTGATCAATGCGCTCAACAATATCCGCAAACGGCTGGCCATATCCCCCACTGTATGTCTGCACGCGCCAGTCAACTGTATTTCCTTTATGTTAGATCAATTTTAAGAGATTGAGAACTGTAAATCATGACCGAATCGAAGGCCATACCCCACGGCATTGTCTAGATCTGTATGTCACGAAGAGTATGATCTCATCGACTGTAACGTAAGTAGCAGCCTGTGCAGTGAGTTCACATGGCAAGTTAGCTGCCCTCTTGCCGCAATTGCCAACGAATCGCCTACAGTTGTGAATTGATGTGCAATGAGGCTTGCGTACAGTTTTCACTACGTGTTCCTCCTACACCGCTGTAAGGATGTTTAGTCGTTTCGCATGCCACGATGACGGTGTTTGTGTTGCAATGTTCACATCTATCACGAAAATCATGTACGAGCTTCCTGGGGCAGTCTAGTAGCACTGACCGTGTACTACAAAGGGGTTTAATCAGCACGAACACCATTGAATTGTTGAGTCGTCATTGCCCGTGGTGAGATTTACTATGGCCACAGGAGTTTGTCTAACATTTAATATCTGTATACCCCCGTTCACCCAAAACTTTGTCATTTCATTAATAACACGCCTACATATGCTTTCAAGTACCCTTGTAGATTTAGAGCATGTTTCCCGACCTGTACCACTACATCCACACTTGATTGTCTGTTTAATTTGTCACTGCCACATCGCTTCGAGTTTCCTTCCATACCTTGGCCCTGTCTCTGGATCCATGTATACAAATTACTGTGCCCGTGTTAATCAGTCCCACTGACGTGTCGACTACCCTTCGGGACCCTTTCCATAGTATCGACTCGAGGAGTTCAACAGACTTGTGAATCGGATGCGGAGAGCGAATGTTAAATTCAGCAAGAACATTTACACGGAATTGACAAATGTCGGCTTTGAGGTAAGGGGGAGTCGCATGTTCGAATTGCACCTACATCACGTGGTGTTATCGCTTGTATTGTAGCACTCCCGCTCACAACGTGGTGTAGTTGTGCTGTTGCATATATACTAGTGCTCGAAGTATTCGTAATAGTCTATCCCATAGATTGCGACTCCTGATTTCATTGATATCTGATGATTGATCAATTTTCGAGGCTTACATATACATGCATTGAATGCCTGTTTTCGCGTCCCGCTACTAAGGGTCATATACAAACGGGTACTTGTGTACAAAAAGTGGGCTCAAGTCCACAGACAGGCCCTCCGAGCTCTAACGCACATGTAGGCCTGCGCAAGTGCGTGGACTCCAACTCTCAAAACACTTAACTTTGCAACACTCTTTCATATACGAATACAGATCGACGTCAGCGGTAAGACCGGATTCCACTACATGACCGAGATGAAAAAGCACGGTCACGCGGTCGAAGGAGAGCCCTACTTCTACTGTCTCAGTCATTTGGCAGAGAAGGGAGAGATTAAGACGGCTGAGCGCATCCTGACTGAGGTAAGTATGGATGGCGTGCGGATCGTATATTTGTCGGCGTGTTGTGTGCGAGAAGTGCTTGGGAGGAAGGTAAAGCACTGCGCATATTCAGGTATGTGTTTATTGCCGCAGAGAAGTATACAGTATGCGTGGGAGTGGATCAGAGGATAAGTTAAAAGAGGATGTGAGTGCAGATTAGTGAATTGGTGGGTACGGTTTGAAGGTAGGACGAGAATGGGGGGAGTACATGATGGACTACTATTTCGAATGGGGAGAGTACATGATGGACTACTGTTTCCTGCAAGTGGAAGGGATAGTGAAGTTGGGCAGTCATATGAGAGTGCAAGTTTTCACGGTGAATGATTGTCGCCTTTTCCTCTGTCTGCAATCGGAGAGGCGAACGCACTCACTCTAGAATAGCTCGTTACACAACACAACGCGAGTTTTCTCGCGTGATCAACCTTAATGGGTGCCTTATATGACTATGACGCTGATATTCATGTCCGTGCTACATGTTGTACGTTCACCAGCACCGGCCAGTGGTGGATAGCTAGTGCAGAACGTCTTGACGCGTGCGCAATACACACATATCCAAGCTTGTCGGAGCTGTCGACAACAGAGCATCGAAACTCTGATATGCTTAACACTCGATACTTCATATCACAACCGCTCGAGCAACTAACAAACCGTCCACACACGCAGATGGAGAAAGCAGGCACCGCCACTGAAGATTGCTACATCCCAATCATCCAAGCCTTGGTGAAAAATGGTAGGGAGAAAGACAGAATTAACTACATCTTCGAGCGCGCGCGGAAGGCCGATGTTCTGTTGGGCGTCAAGACATACACACAGTACATCGCCGCCATAGCTGAGAATCCTCATCTCGGGCTGGGAGAGATAGTTAGTGTGTGGGACAAGATGAGTAATATGGGCTTGGCTCAGAACAGTCATACAGCTCGTACAGCCATCAATGCCGCTGAGAAGTAGGTGTACCACGGTAGTCTGACTGAGTGTCGTTAGTGGGTATTGATTGTGGTGTCTATACATGAGGGCAATTTTTATTGGAAGATGTTTTGAAATTCTTAGAATACATCTTTACTATATCAATGAATATGGGCCACACACACATACACACACACACAGAGAGACTCTTTCACCACCTAGAGATAGGTTTCCCCTAAACATACAATTACATCTGCGGCTATCTGTACCTCCTTTTGAATGCTATCGTCAGCAACACGCTATACTTCATATCGTTGCATCACAAAGTGGGAACGGCAGCATGAGTGTCCCTCGCGTTCAAATCGTATTATAAAATTCGTACACAACGGCACATTTCAGTCAAGTTTATCACATGCCATCACCTGGACTTCAGATTTAAATTTTGCGCAACTAGCGAGTAGAGTAAAATTCTTATGCGTGATAAGAAGGATTGTTCCTTGTATATGTACTTCATCGTCCCGGTGTTGTTTCTCATGGATTCTGTTTTATGCAACACTTCTCACCATACTATCACCACAGTATGTCAGATCTCAAGGTGGTAGTGAGAATGGCTAAAAAAGCCCATGTGCTTGAAGATGCATACGTCCAACGAGCTCTAGTGTATTCCTATGCGAACTTGTATGCGTTGAAGGATGTCAGGCGCATGCTTCTACAAACACACTTAGACAACCATGGGCAACCGAGAAAACTGGGTGTGTCTGGTGTTACTTTTTCTCTGTCTCTGTATTTGAGATGCATTTGTACCCTTTGTATGCGTCTGTGGTGCATTTGTACCCTTCTGTGTGCGCTTGTAGTGCATATGCGTCCTTGTGTATTTATTCGTGGTGCACGTATGTTTGCCCGTGCGAATGGAATGCGCAAATCCTGGAGGGATCAAAGATTTCGAATTACTAGCTTTTGTCTTTTGAACTGTCCCAATTCTGAAATGATTGCTGGGGTGATAGGAAGCCTGCAGGTCGAAAGAAACGAATAACTCGTGCAATCTGCAGCGTATCAGAGTTTTTCTTTCTTTTCTTTCTTGTACACGGGATGCATTCTGCTTCACCGCTGAGCAGTTTAGAAGCCATCAACACAGCCTTCTCGTGAATGATAGTGCATGCAGTCTCGCTAATGTGCTATAGAGAACAAACAAAGGATTTGTCCACGCGGCAATGCACCTCTGTGCACTGTGCAATTTGAGCTTGGCGACCATGTTTGTATCCAAGGCAGAGCTCTTGCACACTTGTTCTAAATGTTTCGATATGCTTATCAGCTGATTTCGAGGGCACGATGGCCGGTGTGCTTACTCGCCTGGGGAACAAAGGCAATGCCCAGGCCAAAGCAGAGGCCACAACCTTTCTGTACAACTTGGTACGGGAGGAGCACATTCTGGTCAACCAGAAGTTCTGCACGCAGATGATGATGTACTTCACCAAAGCCCAACAGTACAGCAAGACCAAAGAAGTGTTCGAATTACTAAAAACCATGAAGGTAAGTCTGCAGCGTATCCGCTTCTGTAGTTGAGTTCTAGTTCTGTCGCAATTAAGTCTTTTCGGTATAAAATAGGTACCTGGCTGTGTGCCGAGGCTCTTTCTGAGAGTCTCCGTTGAAACAGTGATCAACCCCCTTCTCAAAGTACATCCTGTTGTGGTGTCTAGTGAATGCTCGCACACAAACCTTTTCCATTCTCCCTTCACATACACACATTCCCTATCCCAAAACACCTGCGCATCACTTCCCAATCACTAGCTGACCAACACACACACCCTTCACACCCGCGCATGCACACGACGTCTCCTCACAGGGTGGCTACGACACCCATGCCGCCAACGCCATGATCCACCAACTATCAATCGAGGGGAAGATCACCGACGCCGTCGAGCTGATGGCTGAGGTGAGCCGCAACCCAAACTGTGCCTTGGACCAGTTTACGATCGCACCCATCATCAACGCCGCCGCCAAAACCGACAACGCGCCCATGGTAGCCATGCTGCGCCAGCTCAGTAACCAGCACCAACTGCCGCGGTTCTATACCTCACTGCGCGCTGAGTTTGATATGCACGTGCGGATGGAGAACTTTGATATGTTGCTGCCCATCATTCAGGTAGGTAGTGTGTGTAGGAAGGAAGTGACGGCCTGTTGATACCGAAGCTTTGATCTCCCAATGAGGGGGGAATTTGTAGTACTATTGGCGTGTTGTGTCTTGTTCTCAAGGATGCGTTGATTGGTTGAGTTGTTGGTGCCTTCTGTTCAGGCACAATGTAGTATGTGGTGTGCATACGGGCTATTGATCTGCCACAGGTGTATTATTGCCTCGGTCGGTGCTAGGAAGTGCGTGATCACTTTGTGCGTTTGTGTTGATCCGTTTATTGCGAAGCATATTTACGCATGCAATCCCAGGCTACCAGGGGCTCGTTATTGCCAGTTTGTACTCCAACGCTTGGTGCTTAAGGTTTTAACTGTCGTATCATTATTTCCCTCAAACTGTTTGTACAACGGTCACGATCAGACCAGCCTCGAATGACGCTTCTGGGGGTTGTTCCCGCATCTGTGTATATATGATTCTAGCTTATTTGAAGGTGTTCATTCAAGTATAGAATATAGTAGTAGTTGTTGTCGTAAACCATAATAAACGGTAGATTGTATCTCACCTTGTCTTTCGCTTTACTAACAGGATATGAGAGAACTCAACCGGCCTTTCAGTGCCGATGTGTGTGAGATCATGATGAATCTGAATCTAAAACGCAACAATTACACGGGTGCGATGACGTGGTTTGGAAAGGCCATCAGTCATGACGCCCATATTCCCAGCAACGCGGTAAGTACCACAGTATTGTATCGCCATATACTTGTGTTCAGAGAATTGTAAGGTGTGTGGGTGATCACTGCGTACGTGAACTGTGTCTTCTCTTGTGTCTAGTGAATCGGAAGGTTTGAGGAGGACCTTTCACCCTGAATTTCCCTTCTATTAGTGTTTGAAGAATTGAACTATCTGCACCGGGAACTTCTGTTCTCGCTCATGAGTATAGGCGCGGCGCAGGGCATATGTATTGCTGAATATGTTCATGCTTCGCCGTCCACCCCACTGACTTGCCGGTGGGGTTTTCTCGCTATTTTACTGTGAACGTTGACTTCATAGTAATCATGTGAACCTATATATTGCCATGCATTCCTGCAGTACCACTGGAGTCCGGAAGTGTATGTCGAGGCACATCGAGCAATAGGCGTTGCGCTGGCAGACGCGGGGATACTTGATGGCTACGCTGAACTCGTACCCAATCAATTGCATGGCCAGGACGAGGAAGAGGTGCTAGTGATGCAGGACTTTGTACCGCAGCCTCAAAGACATGAACAGTAAGTGCCTTGCGTGCATGTATCGTAGTTGCCATGTTCGGGAAAACGGGGTCGGTTGATTTGAACATGTATTGAACCCTGGCCGTATTTAGCGTTGGGTCACGCCGTTGACGCTCAGCTTAGACTGTTGTGCAATGAAGGTGTGTGTAGTATTTTGGCTCGCCGCATATGGAGAGCGTATCATTTTGGTCTTTGAAAGTGTTAACATATTTTTGTTGAGAGTAGTACAATTGTATGTGAATGATAACCTCGTGTAGGATAGTCTACAAGATAAGCACTTCTGACCAAACTTGTGGGCCGATCATACATATGCGTACGCGCTCACATATCGCTTGTGGGATGCGAGAAATCAATGAAGTTGTATGTATTCTAGGTACTACATACAACTTACTTTGGAAGCCAGTGGCAATTGATGACACTACAGGGTCACACCACTCCGGATTGTATATAGTTTTCCAATGATCACAGCGCCGTACCATGTTTCTTAAGTGATGTCCGTTGTATCTACAGGGCCGTCCGTCAAGTGGCTAACAGACGTGAGCGTCGTTCGCATGCGAAGCGAGGTACTCCCCTTGCGGATACGCAAAAAGACATCATTCATGTGGACGCACCGAAGGTTACCGAACATAACGCTGCACACAGGATCAGTCCGAAGAATAGTCAGGCACGGCCGATGGCGCAGAAAACCGAACCCCTGCATGCCGGTAGAGGGGTGTGGCGAACAAATTACACGCCTATGACTATGGTGGCACGAGATGGGCAGAAGGCTTCACCGCTGGTGGTGTATGGCGACGACTTATTAGCTGAAGGACAGGTAGGGGATAAGAAGTACTCACTGTCTATGGGCGTGTATGCGTGACCGTGTGTGGTGAGTGATGTTGTCTTGTGCATATGTGTTGGACCAGTCTAAAACGGCACGCCTGTGTCAGACATGTATATTTGTGTTCGTGGATATATCGTTCTCAGTGTTCTGATCCCGTTCGTGCGCGTTTCATTACGGCGGTTTGCGGTAGCACGGGTACACCAAGCCCACCTGTTGATACAGTTGACATGTGATATGTATGCATAATTCACTCTCCTATCTCAAAGGTACCCGTTTTCTTGTCATTATTCACTCTCCTATCTATAAAAAACTCCGTCCGCTTGTTCTTTTGCCTTCGGCTTAGACGGAGATTTACCACCATGACATACACGAGGCGCGGCAAATCATGAAACTCTACCGTCAGCTCAAAGAAACCGATCCGGAGAATCCAGTAATGAGCACGCATGAGCTGGAAGAGACACGCGAGCTATCCAGGGTAGGACGTGATTTTGTCACTTGGGCTGTGGAGGCTGCAGCGGTTCCTGCTGATCAAAGACAACCGGCACCAAAGACAAGTACGGAAGAGCGCCGCAATCACACCAACAGCGTTTCACAGAACTCTGATGCGGTGGCAGAAGCGCGTGCTGATGAGGAGATGCTTACTTTGGAGTCCGCCACCCATCAGCCAGTCACAGAGGTGCTAAAAGTGTCAAGCAAGTCCAATAATAAGACACGTGTGTCCCAAAATACGACACAGGAGAATGTTAGTGCCACTGCTTCGATGGGCACGAATGGTCAGCCACACGCAGAGAGTGTTGCTACAAAGAGTGTTGCTGCGGCTCGTCCAGTAGCACCTACCAGCACTGCACCTCAGCCAGGCACACGTGGCAGTGTAGAGGATCAGCCAAGTGCACATATACCGGATACAACCCGGTCTCGGCAACCAGAAGCGACACAACACGTCGCCGGCGACCGTAATGGGCCTGAGCCTGATAGTCGAACAAGTGCGGTTGATGTTGGTACGGCCCACACGGCTTTGGGTACGACAGGGGGGGGGAGTTGAGAAACCAGCAGACGCTCACACGCATGCACGGGCTAAAACGCATGCTGAAAGCCAAACGCAAACCGACAGACCGTCGCGAACGGTCCCTTCTGTATCGCAAGGACAGATAACAGAAACGCGACCAGACCCGCAGCAGACGGCAGAGGGAACATCAGCACACGAGCACATGCAGACACAGACACAAACAAAGACACATCCAACGCAACCAGAGACCCCAGCGCCAACCAGGGCTACGGCAGGCACACATAACCCCACAGCCACCTCCTCGCCGCCCGAACATGCGCCAGTACAGACACATAGTATACAGCAGCGCAGGATAGAACCAGCAGTGCAATCAGCCGGGGCCACGGACGAGACCGAGCAACTACACGTGGTACCACGGTTACCATCGCAACCGACCAATGTGGCGCAGGTTGGCCAGCCCTACAAATCTGCAGCGGCTGCAGTGCAATCAGTCGGAGCCTCTGACGAAACCGAGCAACTAAACGTGGTACCACAGTTACCATCGCAACCAACCAATATGGCACGGGTCGCTCAGCCCTACAAATCTGCAGCGGCTGCGTTTGCATCGCTGCGAGGTGGCAACCAACTGAGCGATGTGATGGCCGCAGCGCACATGCGCGAGGATGATCAAAATACTGGCCACATCAGAGCCATGGGGGCCAAGGCTGGGGCACGGGCGGCGGTAGATATGAGACGCCCCTTGCCGATACAAAATAGAACAAATATGAACTCCGAGTATGCCAAAGGGAATGTGGTGTATATAGACACGCGGCTCGCGCCGGGGATGGGAGGGTTGAATATACTGAGGCGGCGGATAGCTATCGGAGGTAAGTCCAGGGCCACGCCTAGCCCTACGCCGTTGCCTGCATTTATGCCTGTGGACGCTGAGGGTACACTGGACCAACGCTTGAACTCGTACCTACAGTCGATTGAAAGCAAGCGCGTGCTGCATAGAGGACGCAACAATGGACGCAATAATGCACAGCTCTGGGATGCGGTATGTGTTTATGGCTATATATGTATGAGGTATGAAGTATTTGTATGTAGCTATTTGTATAAGAGGTATGTATATGTATGGAGCTATATCTATGAGGTATGTATGTGTAGCTATATATATATGAGGTATTTATATGTAGCTAGCTATTTGTATACGAGGTATGTATATGGAGCTATATCTATGAGGTATGTATGTGTAGCTATATATATATGAGGTATGTATATGTAGCTAGCTATTTGTATATGAAGTATGTATATGAAGCTATATCTATGAGGTATGAATGTGTAGCTATATATATGAGGTATGTGCATGTAGCTATATATATATATGTGTGTGTGGCATGTATATATAGCTATATATATGACGTATCTATTTGTGGCGTGTACTCGTTCTGATGTCAAGATGCATTTAGAATGGGAGTTCTTGGTTCGACGCAGATTTGTGAACTTCGAATTTTTGTACAGAATCCTGGTATAGTTTTGTTTGCTATAATTTCCCAATATGCCACCTTGAATTTCCACCCGGAACTATTATTAACTCGCAGCTCAGTTCCTGGGAGACTCGTTGCTGGTACTAACTGTTGCACTTCACTATTTCAGATACCGGTTGATCTTCTGAGGCGACGCACAGCTGCATGAGGCCTGCAGTTGCGTTCAAACGGTTAAACGACACCATCCCTATTTTATAAACTAGTGCGGTAGCTTCGTGCAGAACTACCACAATATACGCTTTCGGATGCGATGCTCCACTTCACTTTGGTCGTCTAGAAATGGTGCTGGAGACCGGTGGAAACTACAGGCGGATTGCTGGGTGTGAACTCTACCCCCGCTCGTGCAAGGGTACTCCACTATCAAGACGTGCACAGACTTGCACATCGCGTGGTATGCGTTTTTGATACTCTCTGCGCTGATGCGGAGAGCAATAGTCACGCCACATTTCTGCGGCAATCGGCGTGAACCAGTTGTGCTTGCAGCAGCGACATCGCACCACCTGGTCATGCTAGAACGATCGAGCTCCTACGAGGCCGCCCATCCCTGAGGAACTATTCCCGGGAGAGATAGAATCACGAGCCTGAATAAAGACTCTTCGGTGATAAAACACAACCAAGTAATATCCTAGGGCTTTTATTTAATACATATGCGTCCCTGCGAAACACATTGCATACTTGGTTACGGGCGCAAGGTGGATTCCTTTCAAGATTGGTTTGGCGAATATACTGCACGACTTACGTTATTTTGACACTGACAAGCATATTTAATGGAAAACAAGGCGGCTAGCGGTGCAATTGAGCGTGGGCGGCGTGCAGCTACAATTGATTAGAGATGACAGTATTTAGTGGGTGTGTATGAACCTTGTCGCGTTCGGACCGGTCCTTTTTTATTGTACAGACCGGCAATAGGGCTCGAATGATAGTTTGCACCATTGCTCGGTCCAAGCGGAACTGTTAAATACTTTGGGTTGATCGTAGCTGCCTCGTATCATCGTTGTGTACGATGCATGTACGATGCACTGGGGCGGGGGGTGGTGAGAGACCATTCATAGCCCACACCTACTGAAGCCGCCTGCAACACCTTGCAAGATCAGCGGTGCACCATATTTCACGGCTGCATATTATTTACTCGTCACTCTACTGTGTCAATGCAGGCTTCAATCTCATAGATTTTTTTGAATTGACCTGCCTCTGAACGGTTGCGAATTACCAGGACGACCACGTAGTCACGCAGGATATATGAGTTGTTTAGAATGATATAGGCGCTTTCGGTTGGCCTCACAATAAGTTACGAAGCAGCGCAAACTTATGCCAGAGATAGGACTCGATAAAATTCACTATTGCCACAATACCTGCGTACTTACTAGATACAATCGCCATTGCTCTGCGTACGCCTATTCTACGCGCCCTGCTCCTACTCGTGCTGAACAGGCACAACCATGAAAATGAATAGAATGATATCCAGAAGGCGATACCATGAACATCACTTGCATATAGTAAGCAGATGTCTTAGATCCCGCCTCTATATGGTTGTACATAGTAGTACGGTACAGTCAGACCTATGATCAAGGAGCACAACGTACGTATTCACATACGTACATGGTAGTTTTTGTTTACTTGCTCCGTCACACACTCGCTTTCGTGCATATATGAAACTCCAAACGGTTTCTTTTTTATATTTATACCCCCGAAATGCGAAAAATAAGAAAAACTGGGACATATGTTTGACTGCTCCCAAATATTTTACACGTACTCTCTCGGACAGGCAGGATGACACAGGCCAGTGACTAATATATGGGGCTGGGCTCTGAGTCTGGACTGAGACTAGTAGAGTCTGAGACCGTGACTGTGAGACTGAGACTGAGAGTGAAGCGACGACGATTCTGTGGACTGTGGGCCGAGTCCCGCGGACAACTCGGCATAATTTTCGGGATTCAGATAAACACGGGTGATTCGCTATATCACTGTCAAAAAGCGCGTTATATGCGATATTCTCACTACACTCATCATTTGGAGAGTGTACTTCAATGATATACGTAGTTACTTACACACTCCAGCACCTCACACAATCGTTGTCTTCATTATGTATTGCGTTCGTACTACCCTGTACACACGCCTAGCATAAGACCGATTCCTCTTGGGCTTTCATTCAGCAAAACCTAGTGTAGGGTGAGAGGTTTGGATACCTGACTGACTAACACGGTAAATAAATGTACAATCTAAAGTCGTGAATGGACTCACTCATCTCACCGTTGAGCACTGCGAGAGCGCTGCCGGCATCGGGAAAAATGGTATGTGGTGTCTTCCTCCTCAACATATCTTATGTCTGAGTCGTGTGGCCACTAGTCGCCTAGTGGTTCGTTCAAGTTTTAACCCCTTTCGAAATACAAATGGACAATGGGTTAATTTATACATTAAATATAACATTCTATTTAAGAGTGTGTATGTTGATACTGGGTTATATATATCTATTTATGTGTGTATGTATGTATGTATGTATGTATGTATGCACGTATGCATGTATATATGTATATATATATGTATATATATATATATATATATATATATATATATATATATATATATATTATATATAGTATATACTACTACTAACAACTAATAGTATAATATATATATAATA